ACTTCAACCTTGAACCTTTTGGGATAAACGCAGCTGATCCTGTTGCATTTGTCATCGGGTCTTTAGATCCATCTGTGAATACTTGTACATGATCTCCATATCTCTGTTCTATGTGTTCATAGAATTCACTCACTAAATCAACATTTCTTTTCCTTTCTTTATCTTTAGTAACTCCAAGTCTACTTCAGCTGTCTCAAGCATCCACATTGGAACTGGTGGCCATAAAACAGCTGGACTGATATCCTTGTCATACACTCCCATATCTCTCGCCACTCTATCCCCTATCCATCCAAAACTGGACTTAATTGTTCTCTCTTTTTCCCAGCAATCCTTTAACACTGATTTTGTTGGGTGACTATCTCCATGTCCTCTCAAGTTCAGCCAATAATTAGCTAATAGCTGTTTCCTCCTTAAACATAGTGGCTTCTCTCCTACTTCTACCTGAAGTGCACATATTGGAGATGATTTTCCGCTTTCATTCTTCTTCATCTGTAACATTTAAATGGCGCTCCTCTGACATCTAGTAAATAAAAACAAATAAATAAAAGCTAAATCTGAATCACTAAAATGAGTTAGGCTAAAAGTAAAGAATGAACATGGAGGATGTGTCATTTTTGTAATTAAAATTAATTTAAGTAATTTAAATTTTTAGTCAGTGTAGCTACAAACAGTAAACGTACACACTACGTTCTGCAGGGGGCGGGGCTTCTGGGGGCAATGAGCCCAGGGGGAGGGGCCAGTTTGAATGTTTACAAACATTTCTACTGATTATGAGTTAAATAAATAACCCCGAGGTGACACTAACCAGGTGCAGGTCTCAGTCAGTCTCCAGGTGTTTGACTTGTTTTTCCGTTAGCATGTCTTAAATAGTCGTGTTTCACGAGGCAGCACAAAAACCACCTGACAAATCTGAGAATACAACATCCTGGACATGACTCTGAAGTACTAAACTACATGAGTTTCACTTTTGTAGAGATGCTGGGAGGTGTGTGAACAGTAACTCTTAGATTTTTCTCAGTTAAGAGTTCTGGAAACGAAGCACTTCAACTCAGGAAGAAGAAACACTGGAAGGACTTGGCCGTGACACAAGTTGCATTTGATGTAAATAAAATGTTTATTTTTCAGTTTGCAGTAAACAAAACAACGTGTCAGTCTGTCAGCTGTTCGGCCCGCCCCCTGCTGTCTCCTCCCCCCCCCCCCCCCGGTGGCTCTTCAGACAGTGGCTCTGAGTGAAGCCTCGCTCACACACGGTGCACTCGTACGGTTTCTCTCCGCTGTGGGTCCTCATGTGAACTATCAGGTACGAGCTGCGCAGGAACGCATTCCCACACACCTGACACACGTACGGTTTTGACGCCCGAGTGGATCTTTTCATGGATTCTAAGATGGCGGCGATCGTTTAACGAGAGTCCGCACTGGGAGCACTGGTATGGTCTCTCTCCACTGTGGGTTATCCTGTGTCTCCTCAGAGTTCCTTTGGACGACAGCCCCTTCCCGCACACGCTGCACGTGACCTTCTCGTCACCGTGCGTCGTCATGTGACCTTTCAGCTGACCTCGCGTCGGGAACATTGTGCAGCAGACGTGACAGAGGTGCGTTGATGCTCTCTCTGTGTGAATTTTCTCGTGTTCTTTCACTTTTCTACGAGTGAAAAAACTCTTCCCACACACAGGACAGCTGTGATGTTTCTCTCCTGAGTGGATCGTCTTGTGTAGAGATAAAGATCGGAGGTCACTCACGGACTTCCCGCACAGGTCGCAGGTGTACGGCTTCTCACCTGTGTGGCTCACAGCGTGAGTCCTCAGCTGCTGTTTGAACACAAACGTTTTATCACAGACGTCACATCTGTGTGGTTTCTCCTCCACGTGAACCAGTCGATGATTCCTCAAAGTGTTTTTTGACGCATATTTCTTCAGGCAGACGTCACACTCGTACGGTTTCTCTCCCGTGTGAAGGACGGCATGTCTCTGAAAACCCACCACAGACAGGAAGTTCTTCCCACAGACGTCACAGCTGAATGTTTTCTTGTGACTCTTCAGATGAGTCCTCAGCTCCTCTGGAGTCTCTGACTGTTCTCCACAGACTCCACACAGTCTCTCTGGATCCTCCACGTGACTCCACGAGTGTTTGATCAACATGTTCTCTGAGCCGCTCAGAGCTCTGCACACTTTACACGACACAGGAACACCGCTGCTATCACTCGCTACCTTCACAGATGACTTGATCTGTTTCCTTCTCTTTGATTTGACTCCTGAATCTTTGACTCTTTTTCTCTTTGTTATCTCTGAAGAGTCCACTTTCTCCTCTTTCTCCTCTTTGTCTGGTTTCCACTCCTCTTCTTCTTCTTCTTCTACCTCGTTGTCGTCCTCCTCGTGGTTGCTGTCGGCTGGAGAGCGAGCAGAAGAGAGGGCGCTGAAGTCCTCTGATGTTCCACATTGTTCCCCATCTTCTTTGGATCCCTTCTGTCCAGAGTTCCTGAGAAGACGATCTGATGCTCTGCTCTCCACAGGACTCTTCTGAGAACTAAAGGAGGGAAAGTAAACAATGTAAAAACACTTCCTGTTTGGCAGACTCTTATTTATATTTAAGCTTTATGACATTTAAAGTCTTTCTATGTGATTTTTCACACTTAAATGTAAAAATCAAGTCTATTCTCTGAAAATAACTCTGTGAGTCATGACTGTCTACAATGGGTGTAACACCCGAGTCCCACTGTCTGTGATGTTTTCAGAGTTTTCAGAGTCCTATCTTCACTTTGTTTAAATCGCCGGGACGGCCGGCTGACTCCTCCCCTCGTGTATAAAAGTTGTTTAATTGAGGGACTAGAGAAAAGAAGAATAACATACTGTACTCACTGCTTAACTGTGTTTCTAGATCACGCTCATTTCAGGTACATTTACATGCAGTGTGAAGATACCAGCATAATAAAGATCGCTAGCATTAGCATGCTAACACAACAATGCAGCGGGAGTTGTTTTGGTTTAATGCTGGTGCTCAAGGGCGACATCTGCTGGATCAAAAAAAAATCACATAGGGACTTCCGGTGATGCAAGCAGCTGAGTAGCCACGCTCTATCAGAGCTCTGGCACATTATCCTGCAACATTGGTTTCACTATTCCTTTTGGCGAGAAACTTTGAAGCAAAGCGGAATAACTACTCCAGGTGATGTCCTTGGACCAATTTTGGAGCAAAATGCCTCCCAAACAACTTTCTAAGAAGAAAGATTCACCTGCAGCCTCCCCTGAAAATGGCGACGCCAGGCCAGCAGCTAAAGCGTGTGATGCTAACTCCGAAGCAGACCCGAGGCTGACCAAAGCTCTGGAGACAATGACAGCAAATATTGCTGCTATGATGGATGAAAAGATAGAAAAGATAGTACATGATATTAACGCCAATATCTCCCAGAGTTTAAAAGAAGTCACCGACTGAGTTAACGAGGCGGAGCAGCGGATACTAGCTGTGGAAAACATGTCAACCGGCGCCGAGCAACGTCTGGTGGTTATGGAAAAAGAAATACACGAGCTAACTGAACGGCTTAATGACTATGAAAATAGAGGTCGACGTAAAAGCTTAAGGATCATGGGCCTGCTGGAGAAGTTGGAGGGTACGAACGCATCTCTTTTTATGGAATCCTGGATCCCAAAGGTCCTTCGCCTGGACACCAAAGCGGGCCGCGTCAAGCTGGAAAGGGCGCACAGGCTCCCGGCAGCCAGACGTCTCAAGGACGTCCGAATCGACGTTACACGGTTCCATTTCTTTTCTGATTTTTCTGCAGCGACACAGAAAAGACGACGCGAGTACGACCAAGTGAGGAAGAAGCTCCAGAACATAGACGGGGCCCGCTACGCCATGATCTACCCCGCTTCTCTCAGGATCACGGTGAATAACGCTGTTAAAACATTCAACTCTCCAGAGCAAGCCTCAGCATTTGTTGACACTCTGTAGATGACCTAAAATACACAAATGAAGCCGAAAACGTTGTCTTTTTATATATAATGTGAGAGCAGTGCTCACATTTAAACACACCTGTCTGCCTGGAGTGCTTAAATCGGTTTCCTAAACATCTTAGGGGTATCCTGCCATTCTGTGTTTTGTTAAGCTTTATGGAGGAGAATAGTTAACACTCCCTAATCTAAGCTCTTCACCTATCAGGTACATTTATGTTATCTAAGTTGTTTATTTATATTGAAGCTTGAGGATAACAAAATAATGATGCTGCATGGTGTAGTTCTACATTGAAGACTTGGAGGCTTAAACCTAACCTAATTACTTAAATCGTTTTTTCGTTTAGTCTCCCCTTATTTTCTTTGTCCAAATAACCATTTGTAAGAGTCATTACTGCCAACAGGAACTGTAATCTACCAATTATGTTTTTTCTTTACTAGTTTTCTGGCACATCTCCTTCTCTAGTATATCAATGATGTTGGCAATAATTCTTAGTGGTAGGAAGATTGATATACATAAATACATTTATGATTATTTACTGTGCCAGCTAAGGAAGGAAAAAATAAATGCTTGCATTTAGAGTCAGACAAGGGGTCCTCCACCCAATAGGAGGTTTAAATCTCACTCTTTGCGGTCGGTTCTTAGGTTTTGAGGGATCTAGTAACAGTGTTTGTAAATAGTTTTGTTAAAAACTGTTCTGTTAATTGTTCGATATGCATTACGTGTCACCAGAGTATTCTTTTTTCATTTGTTTGACAGTGTTGAGCAGCACTTATTTACATTATGTTGCAGTCAAATTTGATTATGAACATTCCTAGTATAAAGCTGTGCACTTGGAATGTGCGGGGCATCCATCACCAAGTTAAGAGAAAGAAGATCCTAACTTCTCTGAAGAAGGAAGGAGTGGAAATTGCACTCCTGCAGGAAACGCATCTTAAGGACCAAGAACATGTTAAACTGAAGAGGGACTGGGTTGGTGATACTTTTTTTTCATCTTACTCCTCGAACAGTCGAGGAGTTAGTATCCTGATTAATAAGAAATTGCCTTTTAAGCTTGAATCCTGCGTTAAAGACAGTGAGGGACGATACATTATAATTAAGGGTGTATTGTATGGAAAATCAATCTCAAGTCTCATATGTCCCACCAAACCATCCCACAGACTTTGTTACAAAGGCGTTTCTGGAGTTTGCTGAACTTGAGTGAATGTTCTGTTGTAGGTGGAGATTTCAATTGTCACCTGAACCCACTCATTGATAAGCTACCTGCTGAGTCTGGAGCCCCTACAAAAAGAGCAAGGGCATTAGCAGACACGTGTGAAGAGTTTGGGTTTGTAGACGTCTGGAGAGCTATACATCTGAACCAAAAAGAATTCACCTTCTTTTCAAGTGCTCACAAAAGCAGCTCGTGAATTGATTATTTCTTTATCCCTAACCTAATGCTATCTTCTGTGGTGTCTTGTGATATAGGAGTCATTTCTATTTCAGACCATAGCCCAGTTTTTCTACAGTTGCTTTTCAGGGAAAAAACAGGCATTAGTAAATCCTGGAAGTTTGACCCACACCTACTCAGTGACGGTAACGATTCCTCTCATGAAAAGATAGAAAGTAAGACTTAAAGGAAGAGTAGAGCAGTGGTTAGTGTTGTGTGGAGGTTCCTGGTTTGAATCCCCGTCTGTCGGGAGTCTCTCTGTGAGGAGGTTCCTGGTTTGAATCTCCGTCCTTCAGGAGTCTCTCTGTGAGGAGGTTCCTGGTTTGAATCCCCGTCCTTCAGGAGTCTCTCTGTGTGGAGGTTCCTGGTTTGAATCCCCGTCCTTCAGGAGTCTCTCTGTGAGGAGGTTCCTGGTTTGAATCCCCGTCCTTCAGGAGTCTCTCTGTGAGGAGGTTCCTGGTTTGAATCTCCGTCCTTCAGGAGTCTCTCTGTGAGGAGGTTCCTGGTTTGAATCCCCGTCCTTCAGGAGTCTCTCTGTGTGGAGGTTCCTGGTTTGAATCTCCGTCCTTCAGGAGTCTCTCTGTGAGGAGGTTCCTGGTTTGAATCCCCGTCCTTCAGGAGTCTCTCTGTGTGGAGGTTCCTGGTTTGAATCTCCGTCCTTCAGGAGTCTCTCTGTGAGGAGGTTCCTGGTTTGAATCCCCGTCCTTCAGGAGTCTCTCTGTGAGGAGGTTTGAATCCCCGTCCTTCAGGAGTCTCTCTGTGAGGAGGTTTGAATCCCCGTCCTTCAGGAGTCTCTCTGTGTGGAGGTTCCTGGTTTGAATCCCCGTCCTTCAGGAGTCTCTCTGTGTGGAGGTTCCTGGTTTGAATCCCCGTCCTTCAGGAGTCTCTCTGTGAGGAGGTTCCTGGTTTGAATCCCCGTCCTTCAGGAGTCTCTCTGTGTGGAGATTCCTGGTTTGAATCCCCGTCTGTCAGGAGTCTCTCTGTGAGGAGGTTCCTGGTTTGAATCCCCGTCCTTCAGGAGTCTCTCTGTGTGGAGGTTCCTGGTTTGAATCCCCGTCCTTCAGGAGTCTCTCTGTGAGGAGGTTCCTGGTTTGAATCCCCGTCTGATGGGAGTCTCTCTGTGAGGAGGTTCCTGGTTTGAATCCCCGTCTGACGGGAGTCTCTCTGTGTGGAGGTTCCTGGTTTGAATCCCCGTCCTTCAGGAGTCTCTCTGTGAGGAGGTTCCTGGTTTGAATCCCCGTCCTTCAGGAGTCTCTCTGTGAGGAGGTTCCTGGTTTGAATCCCCGTCTGATGGGAGTCTCTCTGTGAGGAGGTTCCTGGTTTGAATCCCCATCTGACGGGAGTCTCTCTGTGTGGAGGTTCCTGGTTTGAATCCCCGTCCTTCAGGAGTCTCTCTGTGAAGAGGTTCCTGGTTTGAATCCCCGTCCTTCAGGAGTCTCTCTGTGTGGAGGTTCCTGGTTTGAATCCCCGTCTGAGGATACTCGTTAGGTTAACTGCTGACTCTAAATTGTCTGTAGGTGTGAATGTGAGTGTGGCTGGTTGTCTGTTTCTACATGTCAGCTTTGTGATTCGCTGGTGAACAGTCCAGGGTGTAACCCCACCTCTCAACCAATGACAGCTGGGATTGGCTCCAGCGTCCCGCAACCGCTAATGGGAAAAGCAGTATAGGTAACGGATTAATGGAAATGAACAATATTCTGTTTGTTTTGAAGAACGTACACAAAGACAGTTTTACAAATATTTTATTAAACAATGTTTTTATACAACGTCCTACTTTATGCTGTTTGTGTTTAAGTGTAAAAAAAAAAAGCAAAATGTAAGTAAGAGAAAAACATTTGAAGGAGCCATGAAGCAAACTGTTGAGAGAGATTCAGCTGTAAGTGAAATGAGACATTCAAAGATGCAGCAGTGTCCTTCTTTTACATCACAGGGAGACACTGAGGACGAGTATCTACGGAGAGCCTGAAGGGACAAACAGGAGATTAATGTGAATAATCACACTGATGCTGACAGCCCTGGTTCAAAACAAAGGAATATTGTCTTTCCGAGCGGGTAGACCCTCGTTGGCCGGCCTTTACACCCCGCTGATCAGGAACATGCATAAAGAGAGATCACAAAAAAAAAAAACAGAACAGGGGCTTAACAGGAAATGATGTCATTACTTTATCCATGACATCACTCAGCGACCTCTTCTTTGGTAGGTGTGGTTACTCCCCAGGGCAATCTGGGTAAGTAGTGTTCAAGCCACTCCCCCCAGCTGCTCCTCGGCTCCTCCCCTCCTCTCTTCACCTCCCATCCCCCGACCACCCAGTCCAGTTCCTCTCTCCTGCCTGCCGCCTCCTCCCTCTCCTCCCTCAGAATCACACTGTACTTTCTGGAGACTCCTCCAATCGTCCCTCTGCTCACACCTTCACACTGTGCTCCTCCTCTCCTCCCTCCATCTTCTGCAGAGACCCGACACTCCTCCACTACATCCCTCCACCCCTCTATCGCCTCCTCCTTCCTCACCTGACGGTACAAAGTCTTCCTGTACACTCCTCTTTCATCTTCTTCTTCTCTTGTTGCACCTCCTCCTGTCGGCTTTAAAGTGACAAGGAGTGGTTCAACTTTTCCAGCCTCTCCTTCCTCAGCCCTATCCTCCCCCTCCATAGCTTCTCCTTCCTCTCTGTTGACGTATAAAACAGAGCGGTACAAAGACATCATCCCTCCTCCTCCTCCTACCTCCTCTTCCCTCCTGTTGCATGTTAACAGCCTCAATCCCTCACTTTCTCCCTTCCTTGCGAGCGTCACAGTCAGCGGCTTGTACACCCTCCTGTACCAGACGATCAGCCTCCACACAGTCACCAATATACAACCTGCCGACACAACGCACAGCAGCAAGCAGCCGGCAAAAAGCCAACAGCAGAACAACCCGGCGCTCCTGACAGCGCCGACTTCAGCCCGAGAAGGGGTGGAGTGGGTTGTGGCCGGGGTCATAAAGGTCGTTGTGACCCGGACTTTTTCTTGCAAAGTCGTCGATGTAACGGTTGAAGGAAAAGATTCGGTCGTCTCAGCAGGTGTTGTTTGCCAAGTGGTCTCTACACTCCCGGGACTTTCAGTGGTGGGTGTGACTGTGAAACGCGTGGGACCGGTCGTCACCGCGTCCAAACCGACCAACGTCATCTCGCTTCTGACCACCGACTCTGACCATTCAATGAGACTGGTGAATGTTTGGTACCAGGAGAGCGTGACTACTCTGGTGGACACTGTGGAGAGTTCTTCTTCTAGCAGCACAGGTGCAGCAGGTGTAGGAGGAGGAGAAGAAACAGCAGGGATGAAGGTAGTGACAGTTTGAGTGACAGGATCGCTTGGCGGTAAGACATCTCCTCTTAGATGACCTTCTGGTGGACATAGATAAGTTTGCTCCAGGTCCATCACAGGTGTACCTGCGTGCCTTGGTGGAGAGGCGCACTCCTTAGAACAGTTAAAACAATCCGTCAGAGTCAGCCAGTCAAAAAGTTTCTACATACAAATGTTTGTCTGTTTGTTCTACTCACCACTTTAAATGAACCATCACGTATGTTTGGACCGTCTCTGATGTAGAAGTTGGTGTCAAATTCTAGGATGTATATTTGCAGGTAAAGATTGGAACAGGTGCAATCCCAGGGGTTGTCTGTGAGAAACAGATAGGGCACTTCCCCCTGCTTGCTGAACCAACCATCTGGCATCACCCTGATCTGAAATCAAAAGGAAGTGGTTTTAGACACGACAAAGTTCAATCATTGAATGTAGCCACTCTTTTGTCTCTCCATGTAAGGCTGTTTCAGATCAGACACGATTGTTTGGTACCGTGCCCGAGCACGATAGCTCCCCCCCCCCTCCCCCGCTGGTCTGCGTTCACATTAGTAACATCCTTCTGTACCCGCCTACACTTGAGTATGTACACAGTCCGATGCAGCAGGGGGGGCAGTACGCACATTGTCGTTTGCAAATCGGCCAGAAAGCAGAAAGAAGAACAAGTAACCATGGCAACCACTCACAGACAGACTGAGTCCATCCTGCTATCTGTGGATGTTTTTGATATTTTTCTGAGACGCCAACAACGACCCCTCTTCCTGCTTCCACGTCTACCGTGCAGCTCAGAGGAGATAACGGGCCCGTGCAGCGCGGATACAAATACTTTTTTTAAGCAACAGAAGCCGTTTAGCTTTACATCATGTAGCGGTTCACTTCCTGGTTTGAGCGGGATTGTGTTTACATCTCCCATGGAGCGTACTCGAGTACACTTGAATCGAGACAACGTCTTCAAGCAGACTCAGGCACAGTACCTGAGTACGGTTATGTCTGATCAGATGACCTAACAGTTCTCAATCTAGAACAACCTTCATTGTATTTACATAACTTTGCACATATATATGACCAAGATGCTGCTATACAGGACTGCTGCCAACAAAGTTATGACAATAAAGCAGCTATCTATCTAAATGAACCGGACTTTGGGGTCAAGCGTACTCAGATCCGGGCCCTAGTGTCAACCCCTCCCCCCCTTATTACTAGACTCTTCTCCTCTGTCGCCCCCCGGTGGTGGAATGAACTTCCAAACTCCATTGGATCTGCAGAGTCCCTCTGCACCTTTAAGAAAAAGCTAAAGGGGGCGCGCTGGTGGCGCAGTGGTAGGGCGCGCATCCCATGTGTTGAGACTCTCGTCTCAAGCGGTAGGCCCGGGTTCACTTCCACCCATGGCCCCTTTCCACATGTCTCTCTCCCTGGTTTCCATATTATTGATAATGATGATGGTTTTTGTTTGATAACGATGACTTATAAGATGGTTTCTATACTGATTAGAGCTCTCAAGAACTGCCCTCAATGTTGTGCTTTGCCTCTGGTCACTTCCTGTCAGCACCTGTGGTCACTTCCTGTCAGCACCTGTGTGTCCAATCAGACTCAAAGCTGATCGTTTGCTCTTACTGACATTGTTCCCTTTTTTCTAGATCCTTGCTTGTGTTGTTCTTACTCTCTGATGTACGTCGCTTTGGATAAAAGAGTCTGATAAGTGAATTGTAGAATTACGACACAAACACAAAAGTTCTGTACTGTTCATTCTCCAACCTTGTTGTCATAGATGTAAAGGAACTCTATGGCTGAGAAGGGGTGGAGCATTGACCCGGGAAGCACCTTGATGTGATTTGATGACAAGTCTAGGATCTAGAGAACACAAGAAAGAAACACAATCACAAGGAAAGCAAATGAGAGTCGCTGTCTGGTGAGAACCCAGAAATACACACTTGACACTTTAAACACATTGCAGCACGCTGACTTGAAGTTTGCTGAGTCCGGAGAAGGTTTGGTCGCTCAGAGATTGGATGGTGTTGTTGTTGAGCCAGAGTTCAGTCAGATCGGGACAGGCGGAGAAGGAATGGTCTGAGAGGGATGTCAGACGATTTAACCCCAGCCGGAGAACACTGAGAGTGGGCAGGAGTGGAGAGTCACTGGGCGTCAGATCTGGAATCTAAACAAACAGAAAACCTTGTCATCAACTGGCTCAACTTTACTGATTCAGTTTTTATTTACACGATAATAATCAGAAAGACACCTTGTTTCCTGCGAGGTCAATCTCATAGATCTCGGTGAAGAGCTGGAATGAGGACCAGGACAGACTGGAGAACAGGTTGTTGGGAAACAACAGAACCTAGAAGAAGAAAACATTCAGAGCTGTCAGTGCTTCCTGTCAAACTGCCATATTATCATTTTAAACAGGAAGCTGCATGTGTCCTCCTGTCAGACACTTCATCCACTCAGAGTCCAGTTTATCCTCGACACACCACAGAGTCAAACAACCAACTTTTCTATCTTTCTTTCACTGCAGAACCGGATGTTTATATGTGGTGTTTTGAAAAAGTTCTGAAGTTTTCCTATAGATGCACACGGCCAAAGTTTTCAACCAGACGTTATCTAAACTGAATTCCTGCCAGTCTCTTTGGAAATTTTCAAATTAAGTCAGAATGAGTCAGCAGGAAATATTAAGAACATCCACTACAAGCGAGGAGGCGAGGTGATGACGTGTAAACAGAGCGATTGTCATGAAGCTGCTTCATGTAGTCTCTTCTGCTCGCTGGTATTTAAAAGCTTCAAAGTGTCGGGCTCACCTCAGGAGGATTTGAGGTGTCTGATGGGGGTTCAGTGAAATTTAACTGGATGCAGTTAGAGGTGAAAATAGAATATTATTAAATCACTAAAACCTTCAAGTGAAGGTCGTGAACAGACTTTGTTTCTGTGATCTCAGAAAGAAAATTAAACGTTTCAAATCAAATCTCTGGTTTCGACCGTGGAGCAGCTGGTCCGTGTTTCTTGTTGGCGTTACCTTGGTCTTTGGATCGAATCCGGCCGGGACGTCGCTGAGTCCGGCCGCTTTGCAATTCTTAGACGGCCGATCGTCCTTGTCCTTGGCGTCCTGGCATCCGGACACGGTCGTAACCATGGCAACTTGATCCAGGAGGACGAAGAGGAGGAGGAAGAAGAGCTGCATTCTGCGCTGCTGTAACAACGATCGTCTCTGAGCCTCAGTCAAAGAAAATAAAACACCAAAGCAGGAGATGACGGTCAATATACCAAACGTAGTGTGTGTGTGTGTGTGTGTGTGTGTGTGTGTCTGTGTTGATTGACAATAGCTGAAGCAGGAAGTGTGATAAGAGTCCAGCTGCTTGTCTCTTGATAAGCAGCTGTCTCTTTTTTGATTTGAATGTTTGACGCTTCACACTGACTTTCATTAAAGGGTCTCATATTTAAAATCCCCTTCCTCATGTTCCTCTAACTCTAACATGTGTCTCTAGTCCGTCTACAAACCCCCCAATGATGAGAAAAGTCCATCCTCTCCGTCTTCTGCCTGCTCCACTTTTCAGAAAATGTGTGCTCAAACAGGCCGTTTGGAGATTTTCCCTTCATGACATCACAAAGGGCAGTAGCCCCTCCCCCAGGTGGGTGACACTCCCACAGCTAGGTGTTTGTTCTGCCCTCTGAGTCTGCCTTCTCACCGTAAACAAGGACATGGAGCGAGAAAGACCAAGTACACCCAAGCCCTTCCAGAGAGGGGGCGTAGTCAGACACAGCTCATTTACATATTTAAAGGTACAGACACAGAAACAGCCTGTTCTGAGCAGGGCTGAAATAGAGGGGTTCATAGACATGATCAAATACAGGATCAGAGTGGATTTAGAACAAGAAACTTCACACATGTTTTGAGGAGCTCAGAGACTTATTTACACTGAAGAAGAGGAGGAGGAGAATATGTCACCTTTAATGGTTATTCTAGATTTAAAACGTCAGGTATCATAAATCTGAAATCAAATAAAATCTGAAAATCTGTGTTTCATGTTTCTGTTGTCAGATTTGACACGAGGTTGAAAAAAAGGATCGACTAAGTCTCATAGTCTGTATCATCTCTTCAGTTGTGTTTTCACTGTGTGTGTAATGTTTTGATTTAACTCTCCAAGCCACCGTAGTTTGGACCTCTCTGGAAAGGGGAAACAGTGAAGGAGGAGGGGACTCAGGTTCAGGTTTTCAGTCTTGTTGACACTTTATTGCCTCGTGTTGTCTGCAGGTAGAGCCTGAGATTGGTTCCTGATACAACAACAACAACAACAACAACACAGACACAGCCACACAAGTGAGGGGCTCTGAGCCAATAGGAGGAGGGCTAGACCATGACGTCATCATGTCTGCGTCATGTCTGAGTCCTGAAGTGACGTCATGTGCCGACGTCACAGATTCTGAGGTTGTGATTGGAGCAGAGGCGTAAGGAATGGGCGGGGACAGTCGCCGAGAGAAGGGAGGGTGGACATTAAATGTTCAGGAATTCCGCAGAGTCGGGTTGTCATGGCAACAGCATCCCCAAATCCCTCTCCCAGGCCCCTCCCCCTCCTCAAAACTCCCCAAAAAAAGGACCAAAACTTAACAATTAGATGAAGAAAAAAAACAGTCAAATCAGTTTTATAAAGTTAAACAAACTTAAGATAATGATTCTAAATTAACCCTGAACACACACACACACACACACTTAACACACACACACACACACATTTAACACACACACACAGACATTTAACACAAACACACACACACACAAACAATCAGGCAGTTGCATGAGGGCGAGAAGCTCCCTTTAGCAGCATCCAAAAGACCCCAACATTAACGTATAGCTTTATAATAATTATAATATTAATGAAAGTGATGATGGCGTGATGACATCACAAAGCAAACATGTAGGCGGGGTTAAAATACTCGGGAAAGCAGGAAGCAAATGAGTACACAAAGAAAAGAACCCGAAGTTTGAAATAAAAAAATCAAAACATCAGAAAAAAAAAAAAAACTAAAAGGAAACATCGTTTCCCATCCTGCCCGGCGGTGGCAGCAGGTTTTCAAGATTGTCCTGTGATTGGTCAGATCAAAGACAGCAGAGCAAACAAGGCAGAAACATGATCCTGCTGATGTCATGCGTCTCCGGCCAATCACAATCATTTCTTGGGTTTTTTGTCATCATCGTCAACATTATCGTCACCATGGCGACTCCTTTTCCGACTTGTGCGGCCGGAGGGAGCGCTCCCATTGGTTGGTTCTACAGTCAGAGAGCACAACGACGCTCTACTTGTCATCTCCCACAATGCCCAACATCGTGTGGGCGGGGCTTAATCTCTCAGCTCCTCCTGACAGTGAACGTGTCCTCACTCAGGGCGGAGAAATGCACCAAGGCTGCGTTCAGGGTGGCGTGGAAAGCTGGGCATTTGTGGCATTTTGGCTGTTAAATCTTCATTTTTCCAGAGGGTCAGTGAACACAACATGATAAAATAATCTCCCTACATCATTAAATGTGCGCACATCTTGATTTGAATATAAACCAGCAATGAGAAGCGAAATGAATCAAACGTTCAGTGATTTATTGAGCAACACATCGATGGTAGGGCGCCAGTTTTCAGGTAACCATGGAAACGTCAGTGTTTGTTTGCAGTCCAGAGCCAGAAAGAAACCAAACATCTATGAAGTAACAACAAATGAGATAAAGCCACAAATTCCCAGCATCCTGACGTCAGTGAAGGCAACAGTTAATTCCCTCCCGTATCATCTGATGTGGACAAAAGTTTTCAGTATTTCAGATCCTTTGAATTCTCACGCAACATATCGTAGTGTCTCGTTTTACTTCCATCGTATTTTATCTCCACTCTGTCTCTTCTCACATTTCCCATAATTCCTTGCTAACACGGCCCTACGTAGACCCATAATCCATCCAGTTTCCTACATCTCACACCGCCACCGTCTATCAGATAAGTTTCCTACATCTCCCATGAGGCATCACTTCCCACATTTCCCACGATTGCCAGAGACAGTGAAGGTGTCGCAGCCTGTTTTTAAAATAGATAAAAACGTCAAAAACACTTCAAATATACACACAGCTCTTTAAAAATAGATTCAACATGCGAGTGGACAGATTTTATCCTCCATCCGTCCTTCCTTCTGTACAGCAGCGTGTCCGTCAGCTCCTCGCTCTCCTGTAGGAGGCGCCACAGAGCAGCTTTCTTTGGTTTATAGCACTCAGCAACGCAGCATTCAAGTCGCACAGGAGAAACAGGAAATACGAGCTCCAACCTTCAGTAAATGTTTCTAACTCTGGGAACAAAACCATTTTATTTTCTATTTTTTTTACGTGTTTTAAAGTTAAATGTTTGTCCTTTAATGTCGTTGAGATTTTCAAAATAATTAAAATAACTCGTTTTGAGCTTCTTCTGAAGTCGCACAAATTGTAAATCCCATAAAACATGAATGTTGCGCTGGTAGGCTAGGCTAGGCTAGGCTAGGCTAACACTTTCACCTGTGCAAAACTTGACCTTCTGTAGCATTGTCCACATAAAATATTAGCTTGACGCTAATTTCCCACCCATGGCGCCCAGAGCAGCGCAAGCTAACTAACACGGACCGCTCTGGCTGAACCAGGCTAGTTAGCCTCCTGGGCTAACGGCGACTAACACTCGTTTAAGAACAAACACTCTTAGAGAGAAAAACAAACCAACATTCTTTATCTTTGAGTAAAAACAGCTTCAACAGAAGACTCCTGCTAACAGTAGCTAGCCTCGGGAGCTAACACCTCAGCTTCAAGGCACCTCGTTATAAACGACCAATCAGAAGCAAGATATCAGCGATCAATAAAAAAACAAAATAATCTTCTAATAAACTTCCATCCTGTTTGACAGCGAGACAAACGGAAAAATAAAAAAATCCACTTGTCAAAACAGTGTTGCTATGGCAACAGCTAACCCATGCTAATGTAAAGGCTAGGAGCAAGCTTAAAACACACACACACACATTTACACACACACATTTACACACACACACACTCAAACAGTAGGATTGGAGATGCAGGATGTGTGTGACGTGCTGACTCAGTAATGTAAAAGTGCTGACACATACGCACACACACACACTTACACACACACACACACACACACACACACTGCCTGTTCTGTACAGCATCAGGACTGTCCTGTGTCCTGCAGCCAATCAGAGAGCTCGATGGCGTAGGGGTCAGAGGTCAGATGGGCGTCTCCTTGTTGTTATTTTTGAGGTCCGGAGCGCTGAACTGTCGTCTCATCCTGGGCGGAGTAGTGAAGCCCCACCCCCCTTGTGGTGGCCCCACCCCTATTAGCATGTCAGGAGGAGGGGGCGGGATCCCAGAGCGCGGCAGGCTGTGGTAATTGGGGTGGGGTCCTGGCTGGAATGGTGCATTGTGGGGGTTGTAGTAAGGATGGTGGTGGTACTGATGGTGCTGATGAGGGTTATAATGATAGCCTCCGTCTCTGTCTCTGTCTCTGTCCCTCCCTCCTCCGCCTCCTCCTCCGCCTCCTCCCCCCCCCTCTCCCCCTGCTCGTTCCCCTCCAGGCCCGGGCGACACCCCCCTCCTCTGTCTCGGTCGCCCTTGGTGACCTCCTCCTCCATGATGCTGGTCGTTGTTATAGTTACTGTTAGCATGGGGGGAGCTGTCAAGAGAGTTGCGGCGATAGCGTCGCTGGTGGTTTTGGTTGTTGCCCTGGTGGTGGTAGAAGTTGCCCTGGTTGCCCTGGTTGCCCTGGTTGCCTTGGTTACGCTGCTGCCAGGCTCGATGAGGGCTCGGGGTGCGCATGCGAGGGGGCGGAACTTGGAAGGGGAGGGGTAAGAGAGCAGGTGAGTGACCCTGAGGAGGAGGAGGTGAGGGAGAAGCTTTCCCATCGAATCCTCCTCCCTCCTCCCTCTGCTCCCCCCCTTCGCCTACTCCTCCCTCCCCTAGACCAAGGGCCTGCAGGGCGGCGCTGGCTGGTCCCCATGACAACCGGTGGGCAGGGTTACTCTTAAATGGGAACTTGAGCTTGCACTCCTGCGGGGGGATGAAGCGTCCGGTCCCAGGGAGATGAACAGGGACGACGGGGGCAGTCGGACCTGCAGGGGGGAGGAAACACAGGAGGTCAGGATCTGGACTTTAAGTTAGCCTCATAAGAGTTTGCATGTGCTGGATGATTTGCCGACGCCCACCTGGAGTCTGGCTCAGTCCTCGCAGTTTCTTGGTGATGTTTTGCTGCTGCAGGTTCAGGAGCCGCTGCTGTTCCTGTTTCAGCCAGCGGAGGCGCCCTCTCCTGAACGCCGGGTCCTCGTCCATCAGACGCTTCACTCTGACTTCGGGCTGTGGGAGGCCGTCCCTGGATACGCCCCCTTCCCTTTGAGGTGATCCCTCCTCCTCCTCTTCCTCCTCCTCCTCCCCGTTTAGATCGTCGTCCTGAAATCAATCAATCAAACAATCAATAAACCAACCAACCAACCAATCAAACAATCAACCAACAAACAAACCAACCAACCAATCAATAAACCAACCAACCAATCAACCAACCAATCAACCACTTAAGCAACCAATCAATCAATCAATAAACCAACAAACCAACCAACCAACCAATCAATAAACCAACCAACCAACCAACCAACCAATCAAACAATCAACCAACAAACAAACCAATCAACCAATCAATAAACCAACCAACCAATCAACCACTTAACCAACCAATAAACCACTTAACCAACCAATCAACCACTTAACCAACCAACCAATCAATCAATAAACCAACAAACCAACCAATCAACCAACCAACCAATCAAACAATCAATCAATCAACCAACCAATCAAACAATCAATCAATCAACCAACCAACCAACCAACCAACCAACAAACCAACAAACCAACCAATCAATCAACCACCCAATCACGAGATGAGAACAAGTAGTATGAGGATCCTCTGAGGTAGGTGATGTGTGGACGTACCTGCACAGGTATGATGCTCTCCATCTTGATCATTCTGTCTCTCAGGGCTTTGATCTCCTCGTCCTTCATGTTGTTCTGCAGCTTCACCTCCTGCAGGAGTCACACACTTATTAGACACGCCTCCTGTGTCATCATCAAAGCTCGACTCTTTGACCAGGAGAACTCACCTCCAAGATGTCCGTCAGTTTATCAATGTGAGCCTTCAGGTCGTACACGTTTTTTTTCGCTCCTCCCTCCACTTTCTCTCCCCCCCCTCCCCCTCCCCCTCCACCTTCTCCCCCCCCTCCTCCCTCCTCGGCGGGGGGGCTCCTCTCCTCTCCGATGCCCACCGTGTCGCAGACGTCCTGGGCCACGGCCCTCCAGCTGTCCTTCTCGTTGGAGTCTTTCTTGGAGTACATGCGGCACAGTTCTTTCATCTTAACGATGGACAGCGCTTCGATTTCCTGACGGGAGTGACGGAAGTCTCCGAGAGCGACCTGCAGGGGGCGCCACGCACACAGAGGAGTACGTTACGATCACAAAACAAACACAACAGATACGAGTGTTTTCACTGTGTGTGTATGTGTGTATGTGTGTGTGTGTGTGTGTGACCTCGTAGCAGATCTCCTTCACCGCCTGCATGCGGAGGTCCTCCATGGTCACTCGTTTGGGGTCTTTGCTGATCCGTCTCCTCTGAGGGATCTGATAAACCCGGAGAGGCTCCCTCCTCTTCCCGCTGCTGGGAAGACCACAAACGCTTCACTATGGACTGAACCTGAGACAGACAGGTGAGACAGACAGACAGGTGAGACAGACAGAGAGACAGGTCAGACAAACAGAAAGGTGAGACAGACAGGTGTGTACCTTGTTAGCAGGTAGTTTTTCTCTCAGTGAGGAAATCAGCCTCCAGCTCTCCTCACAGGAACGTTTGTCGGAGTCGTCCCCACTGTCACTGTCTGCATACTACACACACACACACACACACACACACACACACACACACACATTAATATCACTCTCATTGATTGTAGATCAGATGTTAGAATCAGTGGAGACATACCAGTCTGTGTTGCTCCAGCAGCAGGTCGGCCTCCTCCTTCTCTCTACGATACTGAATCTCCATGTCCTGCAGTCTGTGACACACAAGACAATCAATTAACTAACCAACCAATCAATCAATCAACTAACCAACCAACCAACCAATCACCCAACTAACCAACCAACCAACCAACCAACCAATCAATCACCCAACTAACCAATCAACCAATCAACAAACCAACCAACCAACCACCCAACTAACCAATCAATCAACCAACCAATCAACAACCAACCAACCAATCACCCACCCAACCAACCAACCAATCACCCAACTAACCAATCAACCAACTAACCAATCAAAAACCAACCAACCAATCAATCAATCAATCACCCAACTAACCAATCAACCAACCAACCAACCAACCAACCAATCACCCAACTAACCAATCAACCAATGTATTCATCAGGACATGAATCCCTCAGAGGCGTGTACCATCGTCTCGTGTGTCTCTGATGTTTCCTCTTCACTTTTATCTCTTTCATTTATTTCTTTCCGGTTCTCCGTGGTTTACCTCTTCTCCATCTCCAGCTTGATGTCGATGCCTTGTTTCTCCAGCAGCTCCCTCTGAGCGTAGTTCCAGTCCTCGGGCTCCTCCTGCTGCTCGGCCGTGACGCTGCGCTCGCGCTCCAGCCTCGCCTGCTCCGGGTGGTTAAAGCGGAACACGTGGTTCTTCCCCATCACGATGCGGTGACCTGGCAACAAATGTAGGAAAATGTTTCACTCCAAGAAAATATCTGAGAACTTTACCAATAAGATTGTAAAACAAACATGGGGGCAGTCTCACCTTGTTTGAGGACGACGGCGTCGGAGATCTCCTTCCCGTTGACGTACGTCTCGGCTCCGACCAACGGCTCCAACGTGACAACCACTGCAGACACACAGAGAGCACGAGGTCACACACACACACACGCGCACACAGGGAGAGGGAGGGGGGGCAGGGTTGGGGTATCGGGTGTGAGTATGAAGGTGACGTCACCATGGTAACACAGACTGAAAGAACGATACCTGACAGATCTCCAGGCAGCTTTTACAGAGAAGAAGAAGAAGAGAGAGAGATAAACTTTCATCACTCAAAGAACACAAACACTTCACTTTAATGTTTTCTGAACCATGAGGCCTTACTTTATTTCAAAATAAAAGCACAGCCAGTAAAGTGCTCTTAGATTAAGACTGGACAGAAATTCAAAATAAAAGCCGAACTGTTTTTATTTTATATTATTTGATGAATGGCGATGAACTGTTGAAATTTAACCCCTTATGAACCAGGATGCAGACTGAGATGCTGTGGCAGAGCTCTGCTGGCTGCTCCAAGGTTCAGACTGAAAACCAAAGGGGGGGCAGGTCTTTACTATCATAGCTTTTAGACTTTTAAAAGCCTGCCAGAGGATGCACCACCTAAAAAAATCTCACTCCAGGCTGGAATCAGAAGTTAGCCGGTCTGGATTTATGATGAGTTCAGATCTGTGAGCTGCAGTTGCACATGTGCGACCACCAGAGGGCGATCTGAGCACGCTCACTGACAACTAACTGGAGACAAAAACAGACAGACAGACAGACAGACACACAGACAGGCACACAGACACACAGACACACAGACACACAGACAGACAGACAGACAGACAGACAGACAGACAGACAGGCACACAGACAGGCAGACAGACAGACAGACACACAGACAGGCACACAGACAGGCACACAGACAGGCACACAGGCACACAGACACACAGACACACAGACAGACAGACAGACAGACAGACAGGCACACAGACAGGCACACAGACAGGCACACAGACAGGCACACAGACAGGCACACAGGCACACAGACACACAGACACACAGACAGACAGACAGACAGACACACAGACAGGCACACAGGCACACAGACACACAGACACACAGACAGACAGACAGACAGACAGACAGACAGACAGACAGACAGGCACACAGACAGGCACACAGGCACACAGACACACAGACAGACAGACAGACAGACAGACACACAGACAGGCAGACACACAGACACACAGACAGACAGACAGGTGTGTGTCTCACCCTCCCCCTGCTCGTTGGTCTCACTAACAAACACACAGTGGATCTCTTTGATGAAGTGACCGGACAGTTTGATGTCGACGTCCTGCTGCCCGACTCTGAAAACACAAGAGGAGGATTTTAATCAAAGTCTGTCACACACAGCCGGGTTATAAAGGTGGGGAATTAATCTGACCTGGTGAATCCCTCCTTGATGTAGTAGAGCAGACACTCGGACATCAGCGGGTCCTCGTTCAGGTTGACCAGGTGAGGCGTCTGTGGAGGACAAACACAGAAGAGATGACTTTGATTGACTTTGTTAAAAAACATAAGGGAAGGTCATAGAGCGACGATAAGATGGTGGATAATAACATGTAAGTGATTTTAATGACGTTTATTATTTCTTTACGTAATAAAGCCCCTGCAGGCGTTCCTCAGATATTACTTTCAGAAGACACACATTATGTTTTTTTTTCACAGGAAGTCGGTGATAAAAAGTTTCAATTCTTGAGTCATGCTGAGAAATGTTTCATGATGATGTCACATTAACTGAGAGGAAATAACTCTCCATGCCAGCAGGGGGCGGTAGTCTGTTGTTATGATACGAGAAGACCATTTTCACACCGCTGTGGGTCACCACAGCAAAGAAGAGGCGGAGCCGACTCAACAAACACCACAAAAACGAGGGAGACGGTCGCACACTGACGGGCGATCTCCTCGGTGTGTCAGGATCTTAATAAGATGTTCGATGTAAACTCACTCCTTTTGGAGAGAAGACACCCAGCGTTCCTCCATCTTCTTTAATGGACACGCCCATCTCTGCCAGCAGGGACTCTCTGGGCGAGAGACACACACCAACATGGAGAGGGGGGGGGGAGAGCGAGAAAGATGTTTGACTCATTTGGTGGATTTATCTCCATGACAACAACAGTTCCAGCTCTGTGATTGGACGTGAAACACTGAGATAAAAACGTTACCTCTCTAGTCGAATGGATTCTGTTTTCCTCAGTTTCTCCTCCCACGTCTCGTTCAGCTCTGCGATGATCTTCTCCGTCTCCTACAGGACACACACAGAGTTCACATCATGTTACCCGTCAGCGCCCGTCACTTCAAACAGTCCAGAACCAGGGTCATCAGAGTCCCTACCATCAGCCTCTCAGCCGCCTCCTCTTTACTGATCGGCTCTGTCGCCTCCTCGCCATCCTCGCCATTCTCCATCAGCTGGTCGGAGTCAGCAGGAGCGTCTGCTGCAGACTCGGGCTCTGGTCCTGTCGGGAATACAGACACAAAATGTTCTGATGCTGGACGTCCGTACTAAACCACGGTCAAGTTTCTTTAAACACGAGATAATCAGCTGTTGGCGTGATCGAGGGCGAGGTTTCCTGCCGCTCTGAACGAGACGTTACGAGAACTTGGACAGAACCCGACCTATCAGAGCAAAGCTGTAGGACACGCCCACCCCGGCAGCCCTGCTGAAAGCTCACTCACACTTCCCTACAGTTGCACACAGAGCTGGCCAATCAGAGGGGAGCGGGCACAAAGGGGGAGGGGCTTAAAGAGACAGCAGTTGAAATGAAGCGTTCCAGGAAGAGGCTGAGACGAGGATCAGATACATGAGGAGGATTTTGAGCGAGAAGAGGAAGTAGGTAACGCGAGCGGGGGAGGGGAAAAGGTAAACAAACATTTGTCACTAAAATCTAAATTAGCCTCAAAGTGAAAAAAAAGACACACACACCTGGAGGGGCGGAGCCGTTCTCAGGTGCGATCCCATTGGCCGTGAGCGCCAGCTGCAGCGGGGAGGCGGACACACCCGCAGCAGCCAAGACGCCGTTGTTGTTGTTGACTTTAAGAAAAAAAACAGAAGTAGGATTCAGCTTTTAACAAGTCGGAATCACGGACACACACGCACGCACGCGGCCGCCTCAACAACACACGACCCGTTACACATTTCTCTGGCTTTGACAACTTTAGCATTTTGGGGGAGCGCTACATTCAATGTGTATATTTCAATAACATGTAAACACATAAAGGAGACATGTTTGTGTTTGTTATCTTTACGTTTAAAACAGGATATTATAATATTTATCATGTTTAGGTTATATAAAGTGTGTGTGTGTGTGTGTGTGTGTGTGTGTGTGTGTGTGTGTGTGTGTTTACCAGCGTTGTCCAGCAGCTCCTGCAGGCCCTGGGAGAACAGCAGGTTTCTTAATCGTTCCACTTCGTCCTTCAGCTCTCTGATCAGTTTGGCGTTGGGATCTTCATTGATCACAGCGTTACAGCGGATCTGTTTGGCTCGGTCAGCATACCTGAAAGTTAGATCAGGAAGGGTTTATCTCAGACCTCAGATCAGTTCAGCGACCCTCTGACCTGGATGATTACATCACATCTGACCTCAGAGTGCTCAGTGTTTCTTCATAGTTGATGTCAGCAGGACTTAGAGCAGCAATCATGGCCGTCCGAGAGTTTCCTCCTGACACACACACACACACACACACACACACACACACACACACACACACACACACACACACACACACACACACACACACACACACACACACACACACACACACACACACACACACACACACACACACACACACACACACACACACACAGTAAATAAGTAGAACTCATGATACACATTTTGAAATTATCACTACAAGGTTGAAAGTAACCATGGCGACTGAAGGTTCTTAGTACTAGTGCTACTAGCTCTACTTATTGACTTTGTGTCATATAATTTTAAAGGGACAAATTATGAAAACTTCTTCAGTGTTTCTGAACATATATCTGTGTTCTAATGTGCTCTCCTTGTGATGTCACAGTGGGATTCCCCTCCCCTGGTATCTCCACCCATGGACTCCACCCCCAGACCAGAACAAAACTTTTTCACAGGTCAGCCATTTTTATTCTCTCTACAGAGGAGTGATGTCTACAGGGAAAACTCAGGGGGCGGGGTCATTACATTTAAAGAGACACACACACCAAAACGGAGCGTTCTGAGAGAGCTGGTTTCTACAGGGTCACAAACCTCCTCTGGTGCTTGATTCATGTTATATTTTGACCAAAGCACAGCACAGATGTTTCATTTAGACCACAGGGGACTGTTTGAAAAGGTGGAGGAGGGGACTGTTTGAAAAGGTGGAGGAGGGGACTGTTTGAAAAGGTGGAGGAGGGGACTGTTTGAAAAGGTGGAGGAGGGGGCTGTTTGAAAAGGTGGAGGAGGGGACTGTTTGAAAAGGTGGAGGAGGGGGCTGTTTGAAAAGGTGGAGGAGGGGACTGTTTGAAAAGGTGGAGGAGGGAACTGTTTGAAAAGGTGGAGGAGGACTGTTTGAAAAGGTGGAGGAGGGAACTGTTTGAAAAGGTGGAGGAGGACTGTTTGAAAAGGTGGAGGAGGGGACTGTTTGAAAAGGTGGAGGAGGGGGCTGATATGTCCTCTTTAAGTAATTAAAATAGCTTGCGCTGAAGACGGCAACTTTAAACGTCCCCTTGGCAACCAATTCTGGCCTTCTAGCTGCAGCACAACTCGCTTCAGGACTCCTTGAACTTACCCAGGTTCTCCTTCAGTAGCCAGGTGAGAACGGAGTCTCTGTAGGGAATGAAATCACTTTTCCTCTTCTTATTGCTCTGCTGTTTGGGGTAAGATGGGGAGACTTGTTTATTATTTTATTATTATCTTGTTGTAAGTCAGCTACCAACAGGAGTATCCACCTACCATTTCAGCCAAAGCCGATATCACTTTTCCCAACGTGGTCAGGGATTTATTAATGTTCGCTCCTTCCTGTGTGCAAACACATAGTAAACATTTAGTAAACAAAGCTCCAGTGAGAGTAGGAGCAGAAAATCAGGAGTAAAGTTTGACCTCTGACCTTAAGCCGAGTGCCTTTTGCCCCCGAGGAGTCCGCTCGCTCGCTTCCAGCCAGGTCCACCAGACTGATCTTGCTAACCTGAGGACAAAGTTTCGTCATGAATGCCGAAAACAAAAATCCTGATTATTAGAGAAAGGATTGTTTGTTTGTAAAGTATCCTGGTCTCCATGACGACATAAAAACAAACACACACCTTCTCAGTGTCCAGGCTGGTCATCTGGTCTCGTCGTTTTTGGGTGAAGACGATGGTGAAGACGGCGTGTGACCTGGACGACGTCTCATTCATGTTTGTGGCTGCAACCGTCCTGCAATCGTCAACCAGTCAGGGGTAAGTTATCAACCACTAAGAATACAGACGAGTGACTGCATATCAATATGGACAATGTGTCTCTGTCTTCTGTCGTTAAAAAAAAACTGAAGTCTGTGATGGCTGCTGCCACATTGCTCATTTAGTCCGCATCATAGGGATCACCTGGTTGAGCGGCAGTATTGACAACCCACCCCTCCCCCACATTTAACCTCCAGCAGCCAGTCAGTCAGTAAAGGGTTAAACTTCCTCTACGCAAATGAAGAAGACTGACCGGGCTTTGTTGCCGGCGTCCATTAGGTCCCGGATGTCGGAGAATCCAGTCACCGCCAGTTTGGACAGATCTTCCACGTAGGGACCGAGGATGGGGTGCTCCCGGACACGCAGAGTCCCCTGAGACTTTGGGTTCAACAGATCCCGGACCCGCTCACAGTAGATCTCCATGTAGGACACCTGGAGGAGGAAACCGTGTTCAGCCCATCCTCATGCACTGAATAAATCTGAGTGTATAACTGATTAAAGTGAGTTTACCTCCACTGAGTAGGTCAGGTCAGGATCTGTGTTCTCTCCTGTTCTCTGGAACAAGTCCTCACACAGCTGAACAGAAAAACAGACAATCAATACTCTGATTCAAGCAACCAAGAGACAAAATCCATGAAAGGTGGATTTATGATTCTGTATCAAAGAGTTTCCCCCTCGGGGCTGCCCATCGGAGTCCCGGGTCAGAATTGACTGATTGAGCCAAGTTTCCACCAATTGGTTTGGTTCAGTGCAGCAAAAAAAAGGAAAATAAGAACACAACACAGTAAATAAAGGTCACCAATGGAGGACGTCCAGCAGAGGTCTGCAGCTATGCGCCGACATTAATTGCTTGTGTCTAGCTCCTTATGGTCGGATTGTTACGCTTGGCACTTCAACAGAAGGGTAGCAAAAAAGTAGGACAGTACGGATCAGTCCTTTAGGTACCATTCCCAACTTGTGACAATGGAAACACCAATAACTGCATACTGTACAAAACGAAACCGAACCGGACCACTTGGTGGAAACAGGGCTGCAGGCTAAGTCTCCACGTTCTTGACTTCAAGCAACAAAACCTAATAGTTACAAAAAATACTCAGAATATATCTAAATGCTCTTTTTATAAAGCAAAGTCTCTGTAGCATCGTCTACTAGGACAGCATTCAATTAAATTAAAGAAATGCAGTCCTGGTATTCAGGTCGTCATGAGCACAATAAGTCCTCAGAGGAACTGTAGGTTCACAGGGTCCCCGCAAGAATGAACATAAGTCCAACCACATTTCTCAGTCTAATCCCAGACTGTCCTCAGAACGTAACGAAATACAGTTTAAGTTGTGCAATTAAATTGTTTAGTTCGAAGTTGCATAAAGAGTCAGAGTGCAGCAGTTCTCTGAAACAGGAACAATAATCCAAACCTTTGGTTTAAAAAACAACACAACGATAAATGTCATTAAAAATGTTGGCCTTAATTATCTCAGAGTGGATTGAGGATTTTGAAGCCATACAGAGGTGGAATTGTTTTCCTGATCACTGGAAAGTTCATCACATCTCATAAATACTGCGGCGCATTTACCACCAACTGTCCGCAGACGCTCATGTTTTCATGCTAACTGTTAGCGGCGCTGTTGCTAACTTAGACTCTTTTTGCAATGAGGCTGATTTACATAAAAAATGGCTGCATAATGGATCATTTCATTACACAAACAGCACTGGGCACAGATACGCTGCCTTGCTCTGCAAGGTCCCTTTTGTGTCCCTTTTGTCTGATTCTTTAACTTCAAGTTTTGTCATTCATGCCTTTTCCCTTTTTGAGTGCCTCTACCAGAAAACATATTTCCATCCTTCCCCGTGTGTTTACCTGCGGTATGATGCCTTCCTGTCCCGGCTCTTGTTTGCCCATCATGGTGTAGCTCTTTCCAGCACCCGTCTGTCCGTATGCGAAGATACAGACATTGTATCCTGAAAGACAACAGTGTTGATTTTTAAATGTAATGTTTTCCATTAATTTTGAATGGGAACATTAGCATTAGCAACTTTAGCATCATCACAGGGATATTAAGCTTTAGCATCTGTTGCTTCTCCTCCACTATCACTACAATAAGTTCAATCATGTGTTGTGTTATCATAAGATTAGTTTCATCACCACCACTATAATAACAGACAACATTTGCATCTGCAGCATTAGCATCAGAATATGTAGCATCACAAACATCATGCATCTTAAACGCCAAAGTTCAACAAGCATCATTACTGTCTTTATTACTGTTTATGTGGATGATGGTGTTGTTTAATGTTGTTAAAATGATCCATACTTTGATACATGTTTTAAAACAATAAAATATCTGTTGTTTTAATAAGTTAGTATCAAAAAGGACCAAAACTTTAAAAACTACATCTATTTAATAAGACAGGCTGGTAGAACAGGTAACACTTTGACAACATCTCAATTGTACATGTTAACGTAATTGTGCAATTTAGTCTGTGTGCAGGAGTTTGCCTACAATTTTTGGTCATTTAAAACGAGCATATTTTCCAACATTGGGTGCTTTGGATTTCTATGGAAGTATCCGCGGTATCAAAACAGGTTTGGATATCGTTTACCAAGTGTTTGTGCTTTAAACCTTTCATGGATTTGAGGTGTGACTGATTAAATCTGGTCAGTGAGGAGCAGCAGTCTTCAGACTTTTACCTTCAAAAGAGTGCAGCAGCATCTCCTCTCCAATGTCCTTATACACCTGCTTCTGACATGCGAAGCTGGGGTCCTCCACCTGCAGAAACACAAGCACACCTCTGGTTGTAGTGTAACTAATCTTGAGTAATGCATTGAACATTTTTCAGCGTGTGTGTATAGTGTGTGTTATCACCGTTGTGTGGGACCAGTAGGAATAGTCGAATGTGAAGTTCTTGGCTCCATCTTTGGGCTGTTTGGGGTTTGAGATACCTGGAAAGGAAAAGGGAAATTACATAACAACCTGGTTTTTAGTGACACATGTTATGCCCAGAGGTTTGTTCTCTGGGTCTGTTTTTGCTGTTTTGATTGAATACATTTTTTATTAAATCTGGAAGCTTTGAATTCTGCAGTAAAGCTGGAACATTGCTGGTATGATTGGGTGTCTGTATGATTTAAGACATGTGGTGCAGCTTCAAAGATGAAAGTGAATTATGCATGTGAGTGTGCCGAAATTAACCACAATTATTTTCCTGAATCACGCCCGTCATAAACACGTTATTAAGGTGGAGTAATGTGAGTGGACAGGAGTGTTTTCAGACGGGCGCATGGCTGCTAAAAACAGTCGTGCTGCATGAAAAGTCTAAAAATAAACTGTGTGTGAGTGTGAGTTTATATTGCGCCTCAGAGTTCAGAGGTCACATGACAGGCTGAGGCATGCTGGAATGGCTGATGCCTCTTTAAACCCATTGAGACTCAGAGCATGAGCCTGTGAGCATAACTCATTACAACCAAGGATGACTTGCTTTCAAAGGAAACACATTGATTCCTGTGAAGAACAGAAAACCACAAATTCCAAATGTGTAGTTTTGTAGAATAGACTCTTTAAGACTTGAAGAAAAAACACCTAAACATCATCCAACAAGCAGAGAAACAACTTCAACTTGTTTACATTTAAAAGACTCAACATGTTAAACCAAGTGTGTGTGAGACAGTAGACATGTTTTACTGACGATGTGGGGACACAAAACAGTTTTCACGATCAAATTCGGAGGACTCGTCTTCCTCCTGAAGACAAACTCAAATCGCGTGAACTGATTAAACTGAGTACCAACACTTGTTTTAAGGTCTGCTTGAGACGTGTTTCAGATGTGTGGTGGCTGTGTCTGCCTCTTTCTTCTGAAGTTTTACCTCGATAAAGTCCATGAGCGATAAAATCTGTAAGCTACATGTCTGTAATGCAGACATACAGTAGAATGTCTGGGTGCTGATTTTACATTCAGGACAAAATCAACCTTCCAAGCTCGGGGAGAAACAGGAAGATGAAGCCAGGCACAGAGAGAGATCGTACCAGAACTATCATCGTCCTCAACCTGGCGTGTTTTAATTATTTATATAATGTAGTTATATTATACCGGTTTTATGACTTTGTTTAGTATCAAATAAAACTTTTGTGGGGAATTTGAGTAACTTAAATTAAACAACTGTCCTGGAACAATCTCAGAATAAAAGTGTTTTTTTACTAATGAGGGGAGTTTCTTCACAGAACATACCAGACCGAGCTTTCAGTTCGAAAAGCATACCAGAAGTGTAGCCCTGCATTGTTTATCATACTGACGTAGACATAAATATTTGTTTAAATATGGTCAAACTGGCGCTCTACATTTTATTTTTTTGGCATGTTTGGCACGAGACACACGAGATGCTCTGAGTCTCACGCAGCCAGTCTGTAACCCGGGTTAGTCTACAGGAGGTTAATGTAAAACACTCCACATCCTTTGAAACACGTGTGTGTATGTAACCTGACTTATCCTACCTTATGGGGACACCTTTCAGAATAACAAACACTTTATGGGGCCGTCTGTCCTAATAGGAACAAAGGCCGTTTTCTGGATTGAGAGTAAGCCGATTTTTGGATGAGTGGTTAATCTTAAAAAAATGAGTGTAAGCCTTCGTTAAGACCCTAAATGTTACCTAAGAACACCTGTGTGTGTGTGTGTGTGTGTGTGTGTGTGTGTGTGTGTGTGTGTGTGTGTGTGTGTGTGTGTGTGTGTGTGTGTGTGTGTGTGTGTGTGTGTGTGTGTGTGTGTGTGTGTGTGGCTTCTTACAGGTGGTGTTTCCCTGCATCTGGATCACACACTTGGCGTTGCGTCCCGTCTCTCTTGAGTTGAACGGGCGCACTCGCACCGCCACCTTGACCGACGCTCCCGCCATCGCTCAGCTCCGCCAAACCTTCCTGAAAAACAGCCAATCAGAGAGCAAGGTCAGACACAGAAAAAAAACCTCATCATTTTTATTAATTCTGAAAGATAAAATATTTGTTTCACTTTAAAGGAGCAGTATGTATCTCTGCCCCCTAGTGTTTAAAATGGGTACTGCAGTCTAACTTCTAAACATCATAGAGAGCTGTCTCCCCCCCCCTCCTCTCTAGAGTGGATGCTCACTCAGGTCACCATGTGGTGGACTCTGAAGCTTCAGTGTTTATCCAGCTCTGCATGGGTCTGTAAACCTTTCTGTGTTCTAACCTCTCTCCATTTTTCAAAAGCATCTCCAATATTGATCCTAGTTTGAGCACGTTTCTGCTCGTGGAGCTTATTAGAAACATGCAGAGGCTTTGTTTCTTACTGGTTTGACCTTTAATGTGTTTTAATGGTCGTTCTATTTGTAACGGTGGTGTGAACAATAATAAACCTAAATGTGATCAGTAGACATAAACTCTTTTCTTTGTTTCCCTCTCCACTCAGATTAAACCACTCTCCCTCTCTTTTCCTCTTTCCATCACTTGTTTTATGTTCAAACCACTTTTCATTTCCTCCTCTTTTTTCCAGCACTCCACCCGCTCATTTTACAAGCTCAGCTTCTCTCATTCCCGCTCTTTTTAAAAAAAACTCCTCTCCTCCTATTTTTCCACTCGTGGATTCACCTTTTAACATTTTCTCTTCTTTTTCTCCTTTGTTTGATTTCTTTCTTCACATCTCTCCTCTCTTTTCACTTCTGTAGTTTTCTCTCTTGTTTGCTTTTTCATGCATCTCTTCACACTTTTAATTATTTTGTCTGATCCCTCTTTCCTCTCTTTAATTTCATCTTCCTCCATCTTGTTTTCGCTCTCCTCTCTCTCCTCTCTCCTCTTCATTTCTGTTTTTATTCTTTTGACTTTCACAACTCTATTTGGTTCTTTGTTTCTCCTCCTCCATCTCTCACTGAGCCCAGCTCTTCTCTCTCTCTCATTTCCCCGTCATTAGCACTCCCCTCCTCCTCCCCCCCTCCTCCTCTCCTCCTCCCCTCATTCTTTCCTCTCTTTCTGTCATGTTTCCACTCATTTCCTCTCCATCTCTCTCTTTACATTCCTGTCGTCTGTTATGTGTTTCCGCGTCTCCATGGCGACCACGGCGCTCTCACTTTCACCTCTGTCCCTCATATTCCTTTTGTATCTGCTATTTCTTTCTCGTCCTATTGTCTACCTTTTTATCCACCTCGTTTTTTTCCGTTCAGCTCTTCTCTCTCTCTTTTAGTCTTTGTCTGTGTCGAACGCCCCGCCTCAAGCCCTTAAACACACACACACACAAAGTTAAACTCTGAATTCCTAAGGATGTGTGTGTGAGAGAGAGAGGGAGAGAGAGTTGGGGGTGGGTGTGTCTGTGTGGGTGTGTGTGTGTCGGTCTGTATGGGTGTGTGTCTGTGTCTGTGTGTGTCTGTGTGTGTGCGTGTGTCTGTGTATTTCTGTCTGTGTCCTTGAGTATGATGTGTAATTAAGCCCTCTGAAGGATGTAATAAACACACACGCCTGTCATTCCAACACACACACCCACACCCACAGACACACACACACACACACACACACCCCCACACACACACACACACACACACACACACACAGAGGACGGTGAGTTTATAGATGTTATCTGCCTGATATGAAGCCTGAAGGTCCTGATCATAAATAAACAGTCTGAGACAGAGAGATGATTGTTCTTTTGTTCTTTCTGCCTTCATGGAACAGATCGGACAGTGGATAGAGATCAGAGGTTAGGGAGAGAGAGTGGGTAATGACATGTGGGAAACAAAGGTCAGAGTTTAACCCGTTTGGACGGCATTGATAGACTCCATGCTAAACTAAAATAAAAAACAATCTCAGAAAGTTACACACACACACGCACGCACGCACGGTGTGTTTGAATAGAGAAACACTCCTCTCCATGTCGCTCACATCACATTTCTTTGTCCCGCTCTGAACTGGAAGCTCAATGAGCCGAACAATGAAAACACCGCCGTCACGCCCAGGATGCTCCAGTGAAAACAAACAAAGTCACGCACACGCTGACCGATCTATGATCTCGCAGTTCAGGTCTTCAGGCAGGTCATTGGTTAGATTCAATATCTCAACAAACTGTGGATGGATTTTCCTCTAATCTATTCAGGCTCGCCATCCAACAAATCCTGCTGACTCTGCTGGATCTCTGACTCTCCCTTCAGTTCCTCCACCACGGTGACTCTCTTTGTCTTTAGCCGTATTCAGACTGTCACTTCAAGCCGTGATATTTACGCCCCAGTGACGTTTCACCTCCAATCTGAAAGTCTCTGTTCCTGCAGGGGGCGCTGGAGTCCCATCGATGGCGGTCTCCATGCTGGAAATGCTGTCTCAGTCTAACTTTCAGTCAACCTAACGACAGGCTGAGAGCTGGAGCTGAGGCGGGTTTTAAACCTCCTGACAAACCGTTACACCGCGCCCACCTGTCAATCAGGTCAGCTACACGCCTTATTGTGAATAACTCTTATCCTTCCTCAAATCAAAACTGATGAGTCATCAAAACATTCACCCCCCGTACAGTGTGTGTCCATCCAGACATGAGCTAATCACACCTATTTGGTTTTTTGAACCAGGCTGTAAACATGTTCATCTCTGCTGTAAAAACAGGCTTTTTAGAATGGGTGTGTATGTGACTTCCTGTGCTTCTGCAGCCAGCCTCTAGTGGACACTCCAGGAACTGCAGGAGTTTAACTCTTCATGTTTCAACACCAGAGGTTGTTACTTCTTTAAAAATATCAAAGTATTGGAAATGTTGACAACCTTTACAGAATACGCACAATACACTGTAAAAAGTTTGATTGACTATTTGACTGATTCTTTTCTGTTTCTTATCCATCTCTAACGATCCCTCCAAATCCCATTATTTTTATACATACTCCTCAAACTGTGCACACTGCTTGCAAATAGACTTTGTTTCATTTACGGATGCAGAACCAAAACCAGGACTTGTATCTGGTCATGTGCTCCCACTCAGCTTAAATGTATTTACTCAAGATGCATTTGTGACATTTGACTTCAGGGGTTTCTGTTGTTTACTTTTTCTTCTGTTTGTTCACTTTATGAAACTCCTGCTGCAAAACATGAGCAGATAGAATTCCCACCAGGTATATAAACACAAACATAATATTTTAAGATATTTGTCTTAGTTTTATTCAAGCAAGTTTCAGAGGGCCAATGGGGCGGGGAGCACGGTGCAGAGAAACCGGGCCTAGTGTGAGTCAACCACACAGTACCACTGAAACCTGTCCCTATGTTTACCTCAACCCTTAATCTGTTTTGTGTTTCCACTGCAGACTCAGATTAAGGTCTGGAGGAACTTTTTATATCCACAAGAAAAGAACTCTAGGGTCTCAAAGTTCTTTGTAATCCTGGAGGCAGAAATGCAGCCGGAGTCTGTGATCTCAACCTGCCGGGTTGTGTTGAGAATTCAGCCATTTATGGAGTCTTTCTCTTATCACACGTGTCTTTAATTACAGAGTGAACAAAGGGAAACATACCTGACATACCTGAGCCAGCTGACTGTGCTGAGTGGAAAACATCAAGTTTAAAATCCAGACGTCGCTGACAGACGGGGAGTCTCTGTCTGTTCTTTGTTGATGGCTTTTACATATTCTGTTTTTTATTAAGTGGAAGAGACTCACAGCTTGGAAAGTCAGGACCATTAAGGTTCAGTCTCTGGAACTAAATATGTTAAAGCACAACCAGGTAACAACACATTACACACACATTACACACACACACATCAGCCATTAACAGAACGGTCAATCCTACGATACACTCTCCTTTACTTTAATGACCAAAAGAATCATAAAGTGCAGAAGCTTTAAAAAACGACAACGATTTCACATCATAAGTTGCATTAAAGTCCTCTCTAAATTGCACAAATATCGAGGCGGCATTTCAGAACCTAAACTTCCCCTGCGTCTGTTTTTGATTTAGAACATTTTTGATAATTAAGAACAAGAAATTACCCGACATTGGCAGCTTGAACTTGTAATTTCGATGCTGTTGTATTAAAAAAGTGATTTTTATTAGAATTACGGCAGTATCATGACAACCACATTTAAATGAGCCAGCTCCTAGAGGCCCCGCCCCCTCCCCACACACACGAAACAGAAAAGGAGCACGTCAAAAATGTCTCATCTCAACTCAGCAGGCCCCTGTTAGTCAATGCACACGTTGAACAAGCCCAGCTAGTTTTAAAGCTGCTGTTGGCCGAGATACAGCCAGCTGTTTACACAGACTGTTAGATCACAGACAGACAGACAGACAGACAGACAGACAGACAGTTTTTCGAGTTTCAAAGGAGGGATTCCTGTCGTGGCTGTGGTTACCAGCTGCGAGGTTTGCTGCTAGCCAACCAGCTACGTCTGAAGAGAGCCAACAATAACACAACAGCCTCCACACAGGGAAGAATGAACAAACTGAACCAGCCTGCCGCCACAAAATGATGTCAAGATTTACATAATACAACTCAATCCCTCACAATGATCGATTCTTCAATAATTCATTCATGATCGATGGAATCAAAAAGTGCAGCAACTTAAAGAAGAATTTGATCTATTTCATAACAAAGGTGCTTAAAAGAGGAATACATCCATCAAACTTCTGCACACTGTCTAAACTAAACAAAAACATTCACAACGTGAGCAGTGTTTTAGTGCTATTAAGACCGCGTGCAAAAGTTCACCTGCATTTTTTTGGTAATTAAAAACATGAAATTACCAAATATTTATTAAAAACAGGTGTTAATATAGTCCTAAATTTACTAGAGTCATATTACATATTAATCATAACTGATGGAAGTCACTCGACATCCTGGAAAACACAGTTTGTGTGTTTATACAGGCGTTCTTATTTATCATACTTAACGAGGACACATTTCAAAATAAAGACCAGTTCTTTAGGACCACCTGTCCTAATGGGGGGGTTGAGTGTTTTTTATGCTTAAAGGTCGTAGAAATATATACATATTTCAAAAAGACACAAAAAAGAGTTTTATCCACTGAAGCACTGGGAGCATTGTAGAGGAATGAATCCATCAAAAATGTTGGAAATATTGCCAATGTTTCATGCAATCTGACCAGAGCTCCCTTGCAATTTCCAATATTTGAAAACATGAAAATACCCAGTATTCAGTAATTCTGGTACCATGACCTAACTCAGGTCTTATTGATCAGAACACATCTGTCTGCTCACACAGTGATGTGATTACAGTGGAGACACACACACTCAGTTCCCATGTGAAGGCCTCTCTGCAGGAATGTGATAATGAATGGTCTTCATACCACACACACACACACACACACACACACACACACACACACACACACACACACACACACACACACACACACACACACACACACACACACACACACACACACACACACACACACACACACACACACACACACACACACACACACACACACACACACACACACACACACACACACACACACACACAGCTAAAGATAGCAGCAGCTCGACCTGACGCCCACTTTGTAAAGACCATCTCACTCTCTGTGACTCTGATGAACGTCTGTTCACACGACAGCGTGCTGCCTTCATGTGCAATTGGAAATATTACAATCACAGACCTCAGTTAAAATCAAACTGCTGTACCTCAGTCCATATTGGGTTAGCATGCTAATGTTAGCGCTCTTTAGTCAGCTCGTAGCGTCACATTGTTGTGTTAGCATGCTAATGTTAGCGCTCTTTAGTCAGCTCGTAGCTTCACATTGTTGTGTTAGCATGCTAATGTTAGCGCTCTTCAGTTACTTCGTAGCGTCACATTGTTGTGTTAGCATGCTAACGTTAGCGCTCTTTAGTTAGCTCGTAGCTTCACATTGTTGTGTTAGCATGCTAATGTTAGCGCTCTTTAGTTAGCTCGTAGCTTCACATTGTTGTGTTAGCATGCTAATGTTAGCGCTCTTTAGTTAGCTCGTAGCTTCACATTGTTGTGTTAGCATGCTAATGTTAGCGCTCTTTAGTTAGCTCGTAGCTTCACATTGTTGTGTTAGCATGCTAATGTTAGCGCTCTTTAGTTAGCTCGTAGCTTCACATTGTTGTGTTAGCATGCTAATGTTAGCGCTCTGTAGTTAGCTCGTAGCTTCACATTGTTGTGTTAGCATGCTAATGTTAGCGCTCTTTAGTCAGCTCGTAGCTTCACATTGTTGTGTTAGCATGCTAATGTTAGCGCTCTTTAGTCAGCTCGTAGCTTCACATTGTTGTGTTAGCATGCTAATGTTAGCGCTCTGTAGTTAGCTCGTAGCTTCACATTGTTGTGTTAGCATGCTAATGTTAGCGCTCTTTAGTCAGCTCGTAGCTTCACATTGTTGTGTCAGCATGCTAATGTTAGCGCTCTTTAGTCAGCTCGTAGCTTCACATTGTTGTGTCAGCATGCTAATGTTAGCGCTCTTTAGTTAGCTCGTAGCTTCACATTGTTGTGTTAGCATGCTAATGTTAGCGCTCTTTAGTTAGCTCGTAGCTTCACATTGTTGTGTTAGCATGCTAATGTTAGCGCTCTTTAGTTAGCTCGTAGCTTCACATTGTTGTGTTAGCATGCTAATGTTAGCGCTCTTTAGTCAGCTCGTAGCTTCACATTGTTGTGTCAGCATGCTAATGTTAGCGCTCTTTAGTCAGCTCGTAGCTTCACATTGTTGTGTCAGCATGCTAATGTTAGCGCTCTTTAGTCAGCTCGTAGCTTCACATTGTTGTGTCAGCATGCTAATGTTAGCGCTCTTTAGTTAGCTCGTAGCTTCACATTGTTGTGTTAGCATGCTAATGTTAGCGCTCTTTACTCAGCTCGTAGCTTCACATTGTTGTGTTAGCATGCTAATGTTAGCGCTCTTTAGTTAGCTGGTAGCTTCACATTTCATGTAAACTGACACAGAATGAGCGTGATCTAAAAACTCTTACTAACATCCAAATAATCAGTGAGTATGTTCTTCTTCTTCTCTCTAGTTCTTGACTAAAACAGCTTTTATACACAAGGGGAGGAGCCGGCCGTCCCGTCCATGTAAACACGGCTCTGACAACAACACAGCCAGCGGGACTCGAGCTTCTCCCTCATTGTAGACAGTCAGGACTCAGAGACACATTTACACAGGACAGACTTTATGATTTATTTATATTCTTCTTTTGATTAAAGTTTCTAAAAGAAGGAAAATACAAATTTAGTTTGAGTTGTTAAAAGACTATGAACTGAACGAGAGTGACCATGGCTGTACGCTTCTTTTCACAATGCATTGTGGGATACAATAAGTGGCCTGTGTAAGGTATGGACACCACAACAACATGTGAGTGATTTCAGACACAGCCTCTGTTTGTTTACATTTTGATTCCAGGAAGTTGGCCGTAGCTCCTCCTCTCTGATGACATCACACAGTTCATGCTGAGAGATGGAGAGCTGTGATTGGTCAGGTAGGGATGCGAACTCTGTCGTGTGTTTATAACTTTATAATGTGACACACCGGGGGAGGGGATTTCTTCCATTATGTTATCAGCTGTGTGGCCGACCTCCTGCTCTCCGTCTGCTTCACCAAAACAAACTCTGATTTGTCAACTTCATGACTCAGCTTGTTCTTTCACGTGTCCACGAAGTCTTCTTAGATACTCAAGACGTCAACAACAACAAAGTTTCATTCAGAGCGTCTTTACGTCGATCACAGATCGCACGCCTTCTCGAGGTCATACCTCAGTCAAAACTGAAAACACAGAAACGAGACAAAAACATTTCTGGGGTCAGAGGTCAGATCTCTGATGACTCTCTGATGACTCCACTTAGAAAGCAGACAGAGACACCTGGGCTTTGCTCCTGCCTCCGAATCTTCAGTTCTAAAGGTTCACATTCATGTGTGCACTGCTAGCACGAGCTGCTAAAGGCTAATTCAGCTACTCACAATGGAGAGCCTTTTTATGACCGCTACAGCGCCGTAATGAAGCTCCGCCCTCTTTACTCTGTTACTACCTCTGAAGACGGGGATCACTTTGTCCCCCCATAACGCCTCGGGGACATTCAGATCGAAGGTGAGACGTCACCGGGGCGTAAATATCACAGACTGAAGCGGCAGCCTGAATAGAGATAAAGAGTAAAGGTTCAGATTCAGGTTTAAAGGGGCGCTAAGGTGAGGAGACTGACCATGTGACTTCCACTTCCTGAAGATCAAACGATCTGATAGATCTGAGCAAAATGAACCTGCCTGAGAGTCTTCATGTTTCTAAACTCTCCAGTGTTAAGACAGCTTTCCTTGTCTGGAACAAATTGTGAGGAAAGCAAATTCCATCAGTGGCCGTCCTCTGTGCGCCCCTCTGGTCTGCAGGCCGCCCTCTTCAAACTTCATCTTTAAGCTTTGTTTTCCTTTGAATTGGAACTTTTTGTGTATTTTAAAGTGGAACATGTTTATTTATTATCATGTCTGAGCTGCTTCAGAACTAAATATCTTTAATTTATCGACTTTCTGTGAGAAGATTGGTCTTCTTTCTGCTCCTTTTCATTCAAAATTTGAGATTTTATGTTTGTTTGTTTTTCTTAACTTTATTGTTTGTTTGAATTAAATAAAATTGACAAATAAAAAAAACAACTTTAAAATAACAACAAATTATAATTTTGTTTAAACTGTTCCCATCATACAATAGATGATCTTTGGTTAATTAAAAACATCTGAAAGGCCGAAAATGTCATGATTTTTGAACTGCTTTGTGTTCCATATATTTAAAGTGTTATTTATTTTTACCGGGATGATTCACCTCCACCGGACTCCACGCGCTGATCCGGTTATAAAGTCCCCATGAACCCAAACAAACACGTCACGGAGAGTCCGGATCCCGGGTCGGGCCTGTCGGTACCGGGACACACGGACGGTGTCAGAGTCAGAAAGTTGGGTGGGGGCGCTGCAGTATGTCACACACACACACACACACACACACACACACACACACACACACACACACACACACACACACACACACACACACACACACACACACACACACACACACACGATAAAAAAAGTTTTGACACTCACTAATTTCGTTCCTCCGGTGTAACGGCAGCTCCCTCTCGACTTTTCTCGGGGCTGACGTCACCGTCCGGTTGCCGTGACCGCCGGTGGAAGGAATGAAGAGGAGAAACAAAATGAAGGAAAGTTGCGGCCCGCTGCGGGGCGGAGAATCACGGCACGTCCGGCACAAACTCGCTAATCCGGGAGTTCGTCCGGCCCGGTGGTCGCTTCTGCCGCTCCTGGTCGGGGGGCGGCCGGGGGCGATAAACGGTAAACCGAGTGTTAACGGAAAGTTTTAACGGATATTTAAGGTATTCTTAAAGGAAAGGGAAAGAGAGGAGAGGGGGGAGAGAGGCAGAGAGGCTGGCCGGTGGCCTGGCCGCGCGGCGGGTGTGTGCGTGCGGCAGCGGGCGCGTCCCCGTGACGGAGGAGCCGAGCCGAGGCCGAGCCGCTTCGCCCCGCCCCCAGCCGCGTCCTCCACGGACGGAGGTCTCACTCCGAGCGAGATTTAGGGACATAGAGGTCTCACTCCGAGCGAGATTTAGGGACATAGAGGTCTCACTCCGAGCGAGATTTAGGGACACAGAGGTCTCACTCCGAGCGAGATTTAGGGACACAGAGGTCTCACTCCGAGCGAGATTTAGGGACATAGAGGTCTCACTCCGAGCGAGATTTAGGGACATAGAGGTCTCACTCCGAGCGAGATTTAGGGACATAGAGGTCTCACTCCGAGCGAATTTAGGGACATAGAGGTCTCACTCCGAGCGAATTTGGGACACAGAGGTCTCACTCCGAGCGAGATTTAGGGACATAGAGGTCTCACTCCGAGCGAGATTTAGGGACATAGGGGGTCTCACTCCGAGCGAAATTTAGGGACACAGATGTCTCACTCCGAGCGATATTTAGGGACATAGGGGTCTCACTCCGAGCTAGATTTAGGGACATAGGGGTCTCACTCCGAGCTAGTTTTAGGGACATAGGGTCTCACTCCAAGCGAAATTTAGGGACATAGAGGTCTCACTCCGAGCGAGATTT